TGGGGCTGGGAGGCTGACAGTTTCCTTGCCCTACGCCATGCCCCCCCCCCCCGAAAATTGGAGCCTTGCATGCCGCAGCTTTCGGATAGCATTTGGGGGGCCAAGGGAGGTGAAAGGACAACACCCCGGCCCAGAAGTTTGTCTTCTTACAGCCACGGTTCCCACCACTTTGGCCGTATAACTGTCTGTGAACAATATGATGGATACTCAAACTATGTGCTGTGGTCAGAAATGCATGGCCCTTGAGTCATCTGAGGTATGGTATGTTTAGAGGCCAAAAAAATATATCCATCTGTTGACTTGTCCAAAACGCTCAAACATGAAGGGTTACTGTAGCCTGTTCGGTCACGACATGGAACTCAACCTGTCACTGGGAACTTCACTTATGTGTTGCTTGTACTTCACGGGCCTTAGAGGTGTTCATGGGAATATGCCGTGCTTGCGCACTAACATATACGAGCATCCGGAACAAAAAACATCACCATTTCGGGCTGCGACCAACAAGACCAAACTCGGGGGAAAAAAAAAGCAATCAAATGACTCGTTGCTCCCCTGCATATAATCATGGAACCCAACACAAACATCAATTGTGGAGGATTTTATGTTTGGGGGACCCCCTTTGGGGTTTCGTGTTCATATCACTTGTTGAGCGGATTGACTGAACAAAGTCCAAACTTTGCATTTGCCAATTTGCCACTAAAAATTGGTCCAATCCCAAAAAGTATCAAGTCCAGGAACTCGAACGGGAGTGAGTCATTGTCAGGGGACTGAACCGGTTGTTTTGGTTTGCTTTCCTCCCAGCGGCAATGGCGCAAGAAGATGAATCGCTTCGAGGCGGCCTGGCCGACGGAAACTCGGAACCTCCCTGGATGTTTGAAGAACCTGCGAGAACCGGGTAAGGTGGTTTGAAGAACCTTGTAAAATATTAAAAGGGCCTTTTAGCAGTAAGAACATGTTCGAAGTTTAGATGTTGGATGTTTCTTGGATGTCTGGTCCGTTTGGATTGAAGAACCTTGTGGATGTTTGAAGTATCTCATTTAACATGTTGGAGAGCTTCTTTGGATGTAAGGGACTTCTTGGAGGTCTCACGGACTTGGATTCTTGGATGTTCAAAGGACCTTCAGGCCCGTGATTTTTTGCGGACCTCAATGGCTAAAGGCGGACCAGACGGACACCAGCCAATTCTTTTGGGCCCCCTTCTGAATTTGCGTCCTACATATTGGCTGGTCCTTGATTCCAATCTCCTACCTCCAAAGCCCCGAGGAAAGTTGGAATGTGGTCCAACCTTGCCGGCAAGTCTCGCTAGACCAGCATACCAGCCAAGCACCCCACACGCACCCAGCCTCGAAATGGACGGGCCCCCAGCGAGCCTGGAGGAGCGTGGCAAACGCTCTGTGCAATGGGATAAAAACGGTGTCGTTTTTGAGGGTGCCCGTTTTTGGGCGGGTCCAAAAGGAAACCAAAAGGAAACAAACCACAACTTCAAGGAACACTCCAGATGTCTTCTGAGCCAGCGTTAACCTTCAAGTCATTCTGGGTGACTTGAAGGAAGAATGATACCCGCCACCATGGCAAGAGCGGGCCTTGCGAGCAATTCAATACAAGAGCTCTTGAACCCCAAGAATAACTCCACAAAGGAAACCCCCTTAAACAGGTCTTCGTTTTCTCAAGCGGCTGCCGATGCCTGAGTCAGGATTACTACTTTATCTTCAGAGCGCATCCCTTGGCATTGATCAAGTCCACCCAAACATGAATCAAGTGCAGGCGCCGTCCACAACCGGCTATCAACCCGCGGACTTTCGGGTTTTGTGCCAAGTGGGCATGAGGGAAGAGGTCATACTCCCCTAGACGCTCACAAGACTCACGTGGAACCCAAGGGGTACCAACTAAGGTCCCTAGCACCCCTGTGTGACTAAACCACGTACGGCGAGAAACACCTATGATGAAAGCAGCCCCACTGCGTCGTTTGTCCCAGTCCTTGGGTTCCCAATAAGTCTTTGGGTGTTGGATGTGGAGGAGCGAGCACATGAAAGATACAACTTTGGGTACATTATATCAAGTCTTGATCCGAAAAAAAATGATGATCCCGGCCCGAAGATCAAGCCACACGCAAACACTTGCAACATGGAGCCCGAGATCAAATATTGGAAAGGGTTGATCAGGGCTAAACACCAGTCGCATTGCAAAGCAAATGAACTCTGACCCGAACTGCGAATCGTGGTCGAAGAGACCCCCCCCGGCACGGTGTTGCCGCCCATTTCAGGCTTAAACATTGGGACCAGCCAGCACCATCCTTCAGCATTAGACGAAATTCAGAAGTTTTCTGGCGTTCTACGGCAACATCGGTTTCCAAAAGTGAAGTTCATTGGCCGATTCTCATTCTCTGACCCGGAAATCATCGATTTTTGAGTCCTCAAGAGGGCTGTGCCGCGCATGCTTGGCACGAACTCCCCGACTCGCCGACTCGGCAAACAGAAAACAAAAGGAGGCATCCAATGCAACATTTGTTTCAACCCAACTACCACCAAAAAGCTAGAAAGCTATTGTTTTCCAACATTTGTTTCAACCCAACCACCAAAAAACTAAAAAGGTATTGCTTTCCAATGCAATCCCTGTTTCCCATGGCTAAAAAGATATGCTAAACACCCAACTACTAAACCAACCAAAAAGCCCAAAAACCAAGGGCTACCTAAAAAGCCAATTCAAAACAACTTCCCTTAGACTTCTGCCGACTCGCCTCGGCGATTGACAGCGCTGCGGGCTCGGTGTCCAAATCTCAACGGCCATGGCTACTGGCTGGAACACTGGAAAGCGCCAAAAGGAGTACTTGGCCCACATCTGGGGTGCGCAATATATATATATATATATATATAATGTCGATATATCTATTAATCCATATATATATATATATATGGGCTGCAATATATACATATATATATATATACACATTTATTTATGCATTGCTTGATGCTGCTTCCCATTTGGTCTACAGTATTTCTTTAAAAGTAGTGTTGGAGGAGACCCCAGAGTGGCCCCAGGAAAAACAGCATGCCCAAATATGTGTGAAACCAAAGTAAAAGAAGGATGGACAAGAATGTTAACGGACAACATAGTCCTTAGCATCAGCTTCGGAGATTCAGACGGAGGCCAGCCAGCCTTGATTCTGCACGGGATTGCTTCAGTTCTGCGTTAGTGAGACCTGAAGCTGAACAGATGCTGCACTGGCCAATAAATAATCTATTCGACGAAAGGACTGACCACCCAAAACGTTCAGCCCTTGTCTGAAACTTCAAGCCACAGCTGTAAACGGGATCCAAGGATCAATATGTGCATGCTACTTGAAACCAGGCTTGTTTGGCTGCAAGGAACAGCGGCAAATCGGGCAGCAGTGAAATCATGAAATACACCTGCATCGACTCCAAATAGCATGGGAGATTACAACAGCACCCTTACCAGCACTCTATATGACTGCACTGACAGCAGCCCATCAACCACCACACCACCTTGAGCACTCTGACCCGCACCCTGACAAGCACCCACAACAGAACCCTGCAAGCACTGGCGAGCACATCAAAAAGCACCCTGACCAGCACCCACAACAGCACCCTGACCAACCTGCGACACCAACCAGGCCCGAACTCGCAAAGAGCCTGCCCTTCCTGAGAAGTAAGAACCCCTTCTAGGGAAAACGCGCCAGCACCGTCACCCCGAACAGCACCCCCAAACAGCACCGTGACCCAGCACCCGGCCGTCAATCTCGCAAACATGCGCCCGCAAAGAGCACCCAAATAGCATCCCAACCCCAGCACCCAGCCGTCAATCTGCAAAAACGCGCCCGCACCATCACCAGCACCTCCGAACAGCTCCTGCACTAGAACCCCAAACTGCATGCCCCCTGGCACCCAACTGTCAATCTCACAAAACACTTGCTCCTGTTTGTTAGAAGTTAGAACCCCGATAGCTTTCAGCTACCTGGGGAATTGATGAGTCCACTTAGCAGTTGGTGTAAGGCATTCCAGATGGGATCCGGGTAACTCTGAGGGGCCTTTCATTTCATTCACACGATTAATCAATCTATATATGGTCGACAATGATCACAGCAATGCAGGCAAGGCTGTTTTCCTTCGCTAAAGTTGACTCGGAACCCGTCCCTCGCTTGGACGAATTAGGGAAATAGCGAGTGGGGCCATCCGTCGGTTTCAACATGCTCCAGCTCATTCAAGAAATAGCAACTATGTAGAACACGGTGTTAAACCAAACACTGGCTAATTTTCCCAAACAACGATACACTTATGCAAATAGCATTGTAATAACATGAGTGTGCTTTTGAGGGTACCCCTTTTCTGGGTCTACAGCCATACCCAAAGGGACAAACACATCATTGTGGTGGTGAACTCAAAAAAGACGCACCCGTATCGTTTTACCGTGTTACAGCAAACGGACGCTGATAAATAGCGGCTTTCCTTTTAAAATGGTCTCCTTGTAAAGCCACCGAAAAAAAAGGGGTATCCTCAAAAACACAGACGCAACTTGGTGATGGAAGGTGACTGGCCAAACGCGCCGCCGAGTCCGTTTGCCACGTGCCGTATGCCTAGAACAAACCAATTGAGGGTTCCCGTGTAGGTTCCTTTTCGATCCCCTTTGATAAGCAAGCCACAAGAGCGGCTTTCCCACGAGCCCGAAGAGCTTACTCTGGCTGCCAACAGGAAAGGGAACCATGTCTAAAGAGGCTCCAAAGCAATCGCTCGCCTTACCAATGGCATACCAATGGCGATCTGCACGCCTTACCAATTATAACTTGTGCAGAACAATGGCATTTCCCGGGCTCCCATCTTTGGCCCTGGAAGGAGCCTCAGTGCCAAACCGTTTGGCGCGATAACAGCGGGATCGTCAGTGCCGCCGTAGTGAGCGCCTAGCGTAGTGCGGGTCCCCTGTGGGCCTCAGGGCCTGAGTCTACAGAAAAGCCTTGCCATGTGACAAAGAAAAAGAGTTGCCAAGCAACAGCATCACCAGTCGCCGCAGAATACTGGAGACATGCAATTGCCAGCAACACACAACTAAGACAAAGCTGTACCCGCCATCTTTCGGCAAGAATTGGGTGTTTCCTCAACCAAGCAATTCGGCGCCCCCAAACCCGGGAACAGCGGGTTTCTTGCTGTTCCGGTGCAACACGCACTAGGGAGGAGCTTCCACTAGAGACGCCCCAAGTGGATGCAAGCCGATTCCTCCAACATTGTCCACCTGCCGAAACGGTGTCCTGAGAGGGCACAAAGTCAATCCTAAACCAGGTACGGAATCATCTGCCAATCTCAGATTGCCTGTGTGCTGACGTCCGCCTCTTGCAATCAGTCATATCCTGTGTGAATCTGCGCATATTTCGGTTTACATTCCATGATGAGTCCAACAAGGTGCTTCCCAAGCAGGACTTGGACCTCAACAAATGACTATTTTGACTTTGGTGTCCCTTGCAACAGCAACCAAAAAGGGGTCGGACCTGTCGGAACCCCCCTCCAGCATCGTGTCTCAGGGAGTGGCAATGCCAATCTCAAGGCCGGAGAGTCAATGTCCAAGCACTACAAACACAAAGAGATTCCGACTTGCAAACTTTCATACACTTGCGTGTTCTTCAGCCTCCATGAAACCTGACATACATTTTCCTTGGCAAAGCCATCACTAGAAGTCAACAATCTCCTCAAACACATGAAAGGACCCATAGGTTCGCCGCGGCCTGCCTTTCCTCCCCCCAAAAAGGGATGTTACAAACTCCCAGCCCCCAAAATAGCTCACACATCTCCAAAAAAGAGATAGCAACTAGCAGCCTGCCGAAACAAAGCAAACAACAAACTGATCCTCCAACCTCCCCCCCTTCTTCTTCTGGCGCAAAAGGCTCCATGTCCGTGCCTTGTCCTTGCACGGCAAAACGACTCCCCCCCCCCCCCCGACAAAAACACACATACACAACCCCCTCCCCATGCTCCGGCGAGGGAATCGCCGCGCTTCGCCGCTTCGCCGCTTCGCCTCGCCAGCTGGTCCCGCTCTATCCGCACCGTTCGGCCGATGCGCGTCCGCGCCCGGTGATCCTGGCGCAGGAGAACGGCTTCGGCTTTTGCGGGATTCTCTGCAAGGGCACCCTCCAAAAACAGAAAGACCCATACAAAATATGTCACCAAACAGGGCCAGTGTCTGTTTTTGAAAAAAAATCTAGTGGGCTATCAAGCAAACTGTGGAGAATTCACCATGCAGACCACATATGGAAAACTATTTAGAGGTCGCCTCCAGTCGATGCTGCTGAAGAACTGCCTCTTGCCCAAAGGGAAACTATGGGCTGCCATGTGAAAAGCAAAAACGCCTTCCCGCCTTCTTGGAACAATGTTGGTTCCATCGAAAGTCTAGGCAGCCGTCCGCAAGCGTAAGACATGTGGCCAAAGGCAACGAGTCGCAGGAAAGAAACCGACTGCTCACAGCTCCATGGCCCCACGTGCCGGCGCCGCCACTGAAGCAGATCGAGCTGCAGCAACTGGCAGGAGAGCGGCGTCGGTGTGATACTGTCGTAGGGTCAACAGGTCAAGGGTCAAAGTTGACAGAGCCCAACGTTGAAGTCAACACTCTGAATGATGCATGGAAATTCAACACACAAAGAGATCTCTTCTCCTCCTGCAATTCTGTATTAAACGGCCAATGGACAATGACATCCGTTTACCTGACGCAAGAAGCTGAGGCTGCAGCACAGCGTCGAGAACCGCTTTGTTACGACTACTTCTCCACGCTTGGTATGCTACCTCCGCGACACCATGAGGCCTTAATTTCAGGGTTGCGGGGAAAGCCACGACAATCGGAAGGGGGCTGGCACCAAGGAACTCAACACTTCGAGCTCTGTCCCTGAGCACAACTGCAAAGCGTCACACGCAGACCCAAATGAACACCCCAAGAACTCTGGCTGGTTCCGAACCCTTGACACATACTGACATACTGGTTTCCTGAGTTGATAGGCGCAATCGCATCTGAACTTGTGCTGCTTCACTACCAAACCCTTCTCCGAAAGCATAACGTCTAGAAATAACTCGAAACACAAGAGGCGATAATGATTGTTGCCAGCACTTGGAAAGCATTGACGGCTGCCAGCGACAAGTCAACGGCAAGGGGCAGACCCTACTGAGATAGATATTCTGGCCCTTGGGGGCATTCCCTTGTTGTTGGCTGAAGTCTGAGGAAACCCCACACAACCAACAGGAAATACGAAGCCTGGAATCCAAATTGAATTCAGAAGGTCACAGAGTCACGGACAAGAATCAACTATAAGCAAACCATGTTTGGTGGAATGTTGGTCAAGCAAATGCGCTCCAAACTTTTCGAACCGCATATCATGTCCGTATAGCTTCAGCGTCTCCAAGAGAAGCTCATCGGTACATTTGAAATTGCATGGACCCAAAGGCACATGGCGCTGGCTGAACAGGTTCAATCTTTTGTCCTGACAGGAAGGAGCTTCTTGAAGGGACAATGATCTCACAACGGCTCAACACTTGCTCAGAACCCCCCGGCTGCCCCCACGATCCATCATCTTTTTTGGGGGGCATCCACAGCAATGGCTCTCCTTCAACATGGTTGCACTTGCATCTCCTTCCCCCCTTTCCGAAGGGCCATGCCAGTACAGGCCAGCTCACTTACTCTGCATGCACCCAATATGCAAATAGGTGAACTGTCGGGGTGCGGCCGGAAACACGCTCATCAACTTTCCCAAAGTCTCCGTGCGAGGAATATCTGTTTGAAAGACGAGGAAACAAACACTGGCTATAAGGGCTGTGAATGAGCCGGCAAGCCCTGGCTTAACGGCAGATGCGGCACAGAAATCATGCAAAGCGGTTCATTCGCAACATCTCGCAAATCTGTGTCTTCTCTATTCCTTGCATGATGAGGATACTTCCCCTGTTCAAATCGACCTCGCGAGGGCTGATTTTTCTCATGGGTGCAAGCGAGATCATGGATCAATGGACCCCCTGTATAATTTTCTAAATGCCGACACGGAACCCACGTGCCCGAAGCGCCGATCAAACAAGTAGACATTAAAACTAAACCTTTTGCGGTCCTGACTCTAAGTTGACCAAAGCTGGGCAACTAGACGGCAAAAGGTCGGCTTCGTGCAACAACGCATGTGGTCCATCTGTGGACAAATAAGGCCCCACTTCGGAGTAGCAATCCTTGAAGAGTCCAGTTGAGTTGTGGGTATGCTTGACTGTGGCCAGGAAAGAAATCAACACCCTAAGGGTAGTGCAGTGTCATTCACAAATTGTCCAACACCACCCAGTACGGGGCCCCTTGAAATAGCATGTTTTGTGCTAGAAGGGTAGGAGAAGCCTCTACAAGAGATTTGCAACGGAGTTCTATGGCTGACCTAAAATATACAAGAATGGTTGAAACACTGGGTATGATCAAATAATGGCCCCAAGCTTGCTCGAGCGACATCTACAGTAACCTCACCCTTAATGGGCAAATGTGCCGCGCTTATGCCCCTTGCTTACCGAGAACATTAAGACAGCCCGCAAGCTCCTTCAAAAACCAACAGAAACGTCAATTGCCCCAAAATGAAATTTGATCTGCACGCTCCGGAGAGAAAGGAGAGAGCGTGATTCCCACCTCCTCAGTTCGGAAGCTCACTTGAAGCCAAGTAAACCAGTTGGCCGACAGCGCACTTGGCGCACAACACCCATTAATTGGCCATTTGGCAATGGGTGCTGCTCAGTGCTCATTGTCCCAAGCACAGTAAAATGGCGGACAATGCCGCTTGCTGCAGGTTGCCGCAAATAGAGACCATAAAGTCACAGCCCATAACGCGGCTGGCACCCTGAATTCAGAACCCAACGCCAGCGTTTAGCTTTGGCGTCGAATGCCCCCCCCAAAGTACGGAAACAACATGCTCCAAGTGGTTGTCATTTGATTCCCCTCCTCCCATCTTTTTGAACCCATGACTGCCAACATGAAGCCCAACACAAGCCGCGTCTTGCGAGCCAAACCAAGCAGGTATTCATTCCAACAGTCAAGGGATACGTCTCCATATAGTTCAACCAAGGCGATGGGAGTGAACCGCTACAACGTTCAACACGAGTCCATGAGGTGCACGTTTTGAATACACGATTTCTAGTTTGCTAAGCGGGGACTCACTGCTTCGAACAAATCGATTTACAGAACATCTACACGTGAAGGTTGAAATACTGTGCAGACACACTGCACCAGCCAATTATAGCTTGCCCAGTTCCAGGCATGCAGCAAGATCTGCCTGTATATTGCATGACAATCTCTCCATCGATTCTCCCGCTCGCTGCATGTTCTATCCAAAGCCACAAACCAATAAACACGCACACAGACACAATCAAAACAACAAAACGTGAGTCGTGGCCCCCTTTTGTCTAAAATTTGCCCCCTGCCTGCCAGTGCTTGGGTATCTTAAACAATGGTGAACTCGTGTAACCAGCTGCTATGCTCGATCAATAAACCTGGCGGATTGTGGATATAGGGGGTGCTTCCACAGTGAACGAGCCTCGGTCTGAGAAGCAATCTATTTCACACAGCTTGGCTTACTCTGGGTTCCTCTGAAAGTGACATGAAACGGAACAATACTCGTATTCATGTTCCGGTGATTTGATTGTTTGGGGGGCAGTGTCATAAGCTGTGTACCAACATTATCCACAAACCGAAGGCTAGGATAGACAAAAAGCTGATTCCGCTTAAAAACTAGCCAACTGGCCTATCTTGCAATGGAAAATAGTGGAGTAGATCCCGTAATAACTTGTAGGCTAGTAAACCTGGGTTCCAATCCCCGAACTCTAGTGCCGCCTCGAATCCGTCGTGCATGCGCTTGCCCCGTCTGCGCATTCCGATTTCTTCGTGCATGCGCTTGTCCCGTCTGCGCATTCCGATTTCTTCGTGCATGCGCTTGTCCCGTCTGCGCACACCGATTTCTTCGTGCATGCGCTTTGGCCCCGTCTGTGCACATGGGAAAATCGGTTCCCCGCGAAAGCAAACAAGCTGGACTGTGGATTCGGGTTAAGCCATGGTGTCTTCAATGCACGTCTAAAAGAAATCCGAACAAATCCACAAAACACACGGTCGTTTTAGCACAGCTTGCCCAATCCTGTTTCCAACATGAAACTCATCGCTCCTTAGCGAACCGCGCTCGATGGCGGGAAGCCGCTGGCATCTTTTCGAGCCTCATTTCGGGGGACCAGGCAAAGATCTTAGCTGTGGAGCCCAACGAGTCGTTGCAAAAAGAAAGGTCTGAGGTGGAATGGACTCCACACTATGGATAGTGGCATAAACCACAGTAGGCAGTAAGCCCCTTCCAACTTCACGGGATCTACTTCTACTCGTCTCAACAAGTTCTTCGGCTAGTTGAGCTCGTGTAGTGCACTCTATGTGCTGTTCACCACGAATGCCAACGGTGTCACTCCGAGCTGAAGCGTTGCACTAGACACCTGGGTTGACCTATCAAGCGTATAGGAAAGAACCAGCGGGCTGTTGCGAAATGGGCAACGAAAAGGGGAACGAACAGAACTCCAATGGCATAGACCCGCAGATCGTTTGCAACCAACCAATAGCCCAAACGCTCAATCCTGGATTCTGGGCCCAAATGAGACGCTAGAATGTGTTCAGAAAGGCATTCAGCCACCGCTATGTCCAGACGGAAAAAGTGGCTAGAACCTAAACAGGGCTCTTTGCTTCATGAAACATGCACACAGCTCACTACCCCTTTTGTGTTGTGCAAAAATTCGCGAGTGGATAACAAAGAGGGATCCCAAACCCCAGATCCCCCCGGAAGAAATTCGCCCGCCTGGAGTTGTTCCTTTCATGTAGACCCCGAACATGGTATCCTTGAACACCAACCAACAAGGTATCCTCAGCAAAAGACAAAGCCATTCGATGTCGGGGAAATCATCCAGCGGCGTCCGCCATGCCAAAAAGTTCAAGCGCAGGACCCTGTAGCCAGTGAAACGGCCTTTATGTTGCAACGGCAAAGGAAAAGCAGAAGCTACAGGCATCGAGCGATCGAATCCGGCGAAAGCTGGCTATTATGAAGTTTAGTTGAAACTTTAAACCCTTGCTGAACATGGGTTTCATAGGATTTACGACAGCCATGAGTGCTCCCGTTCAAGATGCATGAGCAAGCAAGTTCGTCACCTGAGCTTGGAATCCCCGAGTGACTACGTGAAGCAGAAACGAATCCAGATCCAATTGCCAGGTTCATGATCATAGAATCATAGGTGTCCTTTTAGGGGAAATAGATGGCCCTGGTAGATGATTAAACCACCAGGTAGACCAGGGCCATCTATTTTTCTAGCAAAACAACCAAAAAGGACACCTATGGACCTATGGTTCCAGCTGTTAGGGACATCTGATTCCAAAGGACCGCAAAAGAGGATCCTTCACCTTGCTTTACCCCATAGGGTCCAAAGAGAGTCATAGGTTTGCGGTCATGAACATTGCCACCGCACCACATTGTCCTCATCTTGTGATCACCTTTATCCT